CTGAAAAACATCTTTGACCAAAGAACACACATCTTTCCTTTAAAAGGCAGGGCACAGAAAGTGATTTGCACCAAATTCAATAAAATTCTTGTGTAACCTTTTTGTGACCTCGCCCATCGTGTCTGTTCTTAGGGAGTTGAGAGGAGCGACTGGGGGAGATAATAAGCTCGCCTGCTGATTAGGATGAATAGAATGAATAATTGGATGTGCAAAATAAAAGAAGGGATTGGGCGGTAACAATGAAGTGGACTTGGAGAGGGCACCTCATCTCAAGACAAGCTCGCAGAAAACTGAGCTGCTGAGGAACTATGATCCCAGCCCACCTCCCAAGGCCATTGTAAAGGAAGAGCCGAGGCTCAGGTGTCATTGTATTTTCCTATAGCTCACCATGTGGAACCGTCTCGTCTCAAGTGACCCGCAAGTATTTTACTATAGAAAGTGACACCACCTCGACATGGAGAGATGCTGTATGAAATATGTTATGCAAACAACTTTACATCTTATTTTTTGGGAGTTTTCAGGTGCACCAGTGACTAACTGCTAGACAGAAATAGTAAAACTATAAACAGTTACCAACACCGGAGGCTGGACTCTGTATGTAAGTCATCCTCCGTGCTGAAAAACCATCTTAGGTGCTCGATGCATTGAATTGTACTATAAGACTGATAAATGTAACATAAATTACTGAGTCGCCTTCACACATTGTTAGAACAGCTGCTTTATTAAGTAGAACAACATTAGTGGTTTTTTTACAGCTGCACCTGTAGCTATTCCACTGTTCAAACACCTGGTTCCCACCGATTGATCGTTCCCACATGTGAGCTCCACTCTGGGCTTTTTTGATCTGTACTTGTGCAATTTATTTTAATTGTTTGTGCCCACTTTCACAAGCTGAATCATCCATATTAAACCCAGACTCTGCAATTTCAAATATGAAGTGACGTCTACGGTAAAAAAACTCTGACAACATTAGTTTTAATACAAAACTATTCGTACATTATGTCAAACTGAACTAAGCTGAGATAAAAAGTGAGATGAGGTCATTGAACTCTCGGGCAGGATTGCATAATGTTCATTCTCTTCATCCTGTGTCTCCTTTGTACCTGCACATCAGTGATTTCTTTATACACAGGCAGAAAAGTGCACCACCTGAAACAGCCCACTGGTCCCTTGATACTTGCTGTCCTCAACTCCCACAATATTGAGTTATTTAAATGTAAAGCAGGCATATTATTTTTTTACGTTGACTGGATTTATGCTTCGGTTGATTGACAACCTCTTGTGTTTTGAAACAACAAACTAATTCATTTAATTTATGCCATTAATTATGCTACTAGATGCAAACCATATGACCACCAATGAAAGTGAAAAGCTAAAATTGCCTGTTTAATTTGTCCCATTTTTATAAATATGCACAGCTATAATAAATAGCATATAAGCATGATTTATAATAACCTAGATCAGAAGTTAACACATTTACCAGTTTGGTGTGTAGACTAAACTGGTAAATCGGAGTTTCTGCTGTGCGTGATTAAACCATGTTTATTCCTCATTTTAATGCTTTCTCGCTCTGCATTCCTATTGTACTGAATAATAATAGGTGATTTGGATCAAAGAAAATGCCAGCTTATTTTTATCACTTTTGTTTTAACCCTGTGCGAATTGGAAGCTTGTCGATATCCTGCTGTGATATCAGCAGGGAAGGCCAGAATCTGATGCCATAATTAAATTAATTAACCCTGCATGCATGAAAGGTTTCTGGTGGAAAAATCCACACAAACTATAATACTATATTTATGTTAATTTGTGCTTAATTTAAGCTATACTCTATAACACAGTACCTGCTCTGTGGATTTTACACGACACAATTAAACTGCTAGTTCAATTTGTGGTGCTTCCACTTATCAGGTCAGGTATCATTGCGTGGCATTGCTCATATTGAGAGTTCTGGGTTCGTGGGGACATGTCCTTGCTTGAAAAGATGCACATGACTTTGGTTTAGTCTAATTCAAGGATTTTTAAGAGCTACTTCAGATTATTCTGATTGAATTTCAGCAGAATGACTGGTTGGTTCTGTTGGGAATTCTTAAAAGTAGAAATTGCTGTTTCCACTGCCACAGAGCAATGATATTTGACACAGAACGACAATAGATTCAGGCCCCAAGTTCAGGTTAAAGTTTTCTCTCCATATCTTACCTTTACGATTACTTGTCCTACACCAGGTTGCAGAACTAAAAGATGGTATCTTCTCTCCCAGTATCCCTGTTAACCAAACTGAAGCATTCTCTCCATCTGCCACTACAACTCCTCCTTCTTTGTTGCTAATCTAATACTGAAGAAAACCACTCCTTCGTCTTCAGCAAAAGGATAAGGCTTCTTTTGAATTTCTTCATCCTTCTTTGATTTCTCTCTCTCTTTCTCTCTCTGTCGTTTTCAGGTGCTTTTGCGAGCGCAGGTGAAGCGGTGCTCTGACGAGGCTGAATCGCACCAGAAACCTTGGCCCAAGCCGCCGTTAGTCAGCGCTGGACTTGCAGAACAGGTGCAAAACGAGAACTATCCAAGTGAAAATTCAGGTTTTTGTATCTCCATCTTCAGAGGCATTGTCTTCAACTGGTGTTCATCCCTAATTTTTATTTGTAATTAGTCTGCCTGTCATATTTTCCATAAAACTACTTATTAACAGAACAGCTCTCTCTATCAATCTTTTGCAATCTGATCTGGTTGGACTGCTGTTCCCTCTCTCGCGCACACACTCTCTCCCTCTGACTGTTTCTTTCTCACTCTCCCTCTCCCTCCCTCCTTCCTGTGGTGTCACAGAAGCTGCCATTTGCAGCCTCCCTCCCTCCCTCCCTCTCTCTCTCTCTCTCTCTTCTCCTTCCCTATTCTCTTTTTTCTCTCTCTCTCTTGTTGTCTTCCTCCCTCCCTCTCACATCATGGTACTACCAGTTGACAGCAACTTGATGCACAGACGTATCATTCAGAAAACACACGCAGACCATCAGACATAGTTAATCAAAAGTAGATGAATAGCTCTTAATTCACCACCTTTCTGAGGGCCATTTGTTCAATTTTTACTCTGTAGATGAATGTGATCCTATATTTAAAAAGTAATTGAGGTTACTCTGTTATGTACTTCAGGTTCAGGTGAGAATATTGACGTGACCAGGGCAAAATGATAATGTGTCTTTTTGACCCTGTGGTAGCCAATTCCACGAATGAAAGGCTCCATGGGTTCAAAATATCATGCTGCTGGGTGCTGTGTCTCAGGGAAGGGAGATGCCTTTCACACTTGTCACCAACAACTAATCAAACACATCTGACCACAGGATGTGTGTGTGTGTGTGTGTGTGTGTGTGTGTGTGTGTGTGTGTGTGTGTGTGTGTGTAGCTTTTAAATATTAGAGAGATGACAATCACTATTGCCCAGTTCCTCTCACCATATACTGAAACAGCGTTTTACAAATAACCTCCTCCAGGAAAACACAGTTAACTCACAAGTCTATTTGTTTTGGTGCGTCACCGTGCCTGCAACACTCTCCAGTGTCCCTGGTTTTTGCCTTAAGTTGTTTTTTTGGAGAACAAGCTGTAGCTTTTTTCTCAGTCATCACCAATGTGGAGTACTTTACCGTTACCCTTGACAGCTTCAAAACTGTGACATTACCCTCAGAGCTGTGTGTCTGCTCCCCTTTTCGCACATCTTCTCAGAGAGCCTGTCATCAGTCAAATGCTAAAAGAGATGACAATTAGTAAGAGAGGGGGCTGAAAGAGTGAGAAGTTTCTAAATACAGCCATACTGGCTCAGCCCTAGCTTTATCACTAATGATTCATCAGTGCAGGAACCCTCCCTCTCTCTGTCTTTCTCTCTCTTTTTTTTCCCTTTCTCTCTCTACGCTCTTATTCTTTCTCCCTGGCAGCCTCTGATTTCAGACTTCTGAGGGTGATTTGCAATAGCCTGTGTGTGATCATCACCAGCCTATTGTGTTTTGCTGAGGACGTCAACTAATGGAGCTCAAAGAATCCTTTTAAGGGGCCTCTCAGTCTGTGTCAGCAACAGGTACTGTACTGGTTCCTGCATAATGTAAGGCCGTGGCGATGCAAGCTTCGAGAACAGTAGATCACACAGTTCACACATCTAGACTGTAAACCTCGTTATGTAACCGCACCATAATCACAGGTGGCTGCTCACATATCCATGTCTCTGTCTAAATGAGAGGGTTTTGCCTCCCAGGGAGATCGCTGAGTGGGATCACTCGTGCTTCCATGGCTACAGGTGTAATACACTTTCAATATTATCAGACCAAAAAGATCTGAAACGAAGCAAAAGAGAGATGAAGCGTGAGCAGAGTCAACAAAAGCTTCAGCTTTGGCTATGGAAAAATGAGTCTTCTTTTTTTCAAAGCCTGAAGGTTATTCCATCACCAGGGTGCAAAGTGAGTGAGCCTGCTCCACCATGTTCATAAGAGAAACCATGTAGAACAGCAAAAATCATAGCAGTTAGCAGATAACAAAGGCATATGTCCAGTGTAAATATATACTAATACTGTTGTCTCCTGACACTCATAAAGTACACACTCATGTGTACTGGACAAGGATGATATAAAATGATACAATGATATAAAACATAAAGAACTGTGATACCCAGTGTCTAGAAAATGAAATGTGCAAGAGCCAGCATGTGCGTAAATAATGCCACTTTATACCAGAACATAAACAAATGTAGCCTATACAAGCGTTTCTCTGACTGCTAATTTAAAAAGGCCCTATTTTAATAATAAAAAATTCCAGTTTAGCTTAAAGGAAAATTTAATCCACCCACATATCAAAGTATTTGTAAGGTGATTTTTCTCATTTCTGTTATAGGATATGAATACCAGTAGAATATTGACTCGTCGACATAAAGGTGCACTTTAGCTGTAAACTTATTCTTACAATTATTGTCTATAAAAATAAGAAATAAAAGAGGACCTAAAATTAAACCTTGTGGGACTTCTTTTGAAATTCACCAGGAAATGTAATCTTAATTTTGGTGACCCCAGTAGTAGAAAATATAGTTGTAGTGTAACTGAAATGTGATTACGATAACCTGAGTAAATGAAAAATGCCATTTTTAAATGATGATTTCATTTATTACAAGGAAAAAAGCTACATAAACCCATCACGCCCTATCTGAAAAAGTGATTGGCGACTACATTCAATAACTGATCATCCACCCCTTAAGTGAGTTAATCTAATGAGTCTTTAAAATGACTATGGAGGAATTTTAAACTCTTCTTTGCAGAGTTGTCATGTTGGAGGATTTTCCAGTATGAACAGCTTGTTTAAGGTCATGCCGATGCAGCTCAATAGGAAGTCCAGACTAGGCCACTCAAAAACCTTGTTTTATTTGTCTTTGCTGATCTGAAACATAGGTGTGAGAATCATTAAAAAACAGGAAAAAGGTAAACATTTTCATGACTTATATGACGTCATCTAATGCACTTCTACATGTAAGTCATGCCTGCATAAGCAAATAATAAGAGTGAGGGTCCCCCTTATAAAAACAGTCTAACTCCACTGTGCCACTGATTTCCGGTAAAACCTGGAAGCGAGAGGTTGTTAATTATTAAAACAATGGCTAAGCACAGAAAGTGAAGACTTCGTGGTAATGTGGTAATGTGGTAACGTGGTCCCTCTAGTTTTTCCAGGCGTGTGCAGCACTGTGTAATTTGCATTAATCAGACAGGCCCTAAGAATAAACTTTTCACAATCATTCTGGTGATAGTGATTGTGGCATTTTCATTTTTTTTCCAATGACACTTGCCCAGGGCAGACACCGCACAGGAGCTCTGTTGAATTATTGCTGCTGACAGCTCAATCTCTCTCCATCATAATCAAGGAATATCATCAAAAGGGTTTTGACGCACAAAGATGAATATATAGGAATGTGTTATTGATGTAAAATGCATGGATTTAATGAAATCAAATCTATTTTTTTCTGATGTACTTTAAAAAAATAATTTAAGGCTTTATTTATGCATTTTTACAAAATATTAAAGTCCTGCATTCTGTCACACTTACTGCATGTTATTAAAAATCGTAAACAAATTCAACCTTGCTATGCCTCTTTACCCCTTATCTTAACAAATTTTTCCATCGTTAATGCTTCTTTATACAGCTCTGAACTCTCCCCTTCCTTCTCTTCCTTCTTCCACAGCTTTGTCACTAAGCAGCCCAATTACATTATTCTCTGAGACTCCTGTCTGTTGCAGCTATTTCAGGCTTTGGAGCCATTCCTGTTCATTTCATTTTTGCAACTTCGTTTCTTGTCAGCAGGGATTAAGAATGTGATATTACTGTACTCACACTGGCTGCAGTAGTTGTGAAAAGTCCTTCTTGTTCTTGGGCCCAGCTGGTTGGTGATGGTGCATACTTGTTGGGGGTTGATTCACTCTTGGACAGTGTGGAAATAACGTCTTACATTTACACGTACGCATTCTTTTTGCCGTTCTTTCATTTTTGGGGCGATTGTTGCAGAACATAATTGGTGCTTTTACGTAGATCATCATTTCTGGTGTCCACTTACAGGTAGGGGTTGTTTTTCAAGAAGTAAAATGCTATTTATACATATAGACTCACATCTGCCACTTTACACCCTGCTATTACAACGGTGGACCCCATTTTGCCCTGAGAACTGCCCTAATTCTTCATGGTATAAATTTAAGGTGCTGGAAACATTTCTCAGAGTATCTGGTCTATATGTGCTTTATGGGATTGAGATTTAGTGACTCTGTAGAGCATGTGAGATAATTTGAGCTTTGTAACATGGTGTGTTATCCAGCAGGTAGCAGCCATCAGAAGATAGTACACTGTGGTTATTAAGGCATGGACATGATCAGCAACACTACTCAAATAGGATGTGGTGTTTAAATGATACTCAGCTCATACTAAGAGCCCCCCCCTCAAAAAAATCCCCCACATCATTTCACCACTACAACCACCAACCTGATTGTTGATACAAGGCAGGATGAAACCAAGTGTTTATGATGTTTACACAAAATTCTGACCCTCACATCCAGATTCATCAGACCAGGAAACACTTTTTTTGGATGGATTTTGGTGAGCACATGCAAGCTGTAGGCTCAACTTACTCATTTTCGCTGACAGGAGTGGTCCTTGGTGTGATCTTACTGCTGTAGCCTCTGCATCTGCTTCGGGGTTTGAATAAGTTGTACATTCAGAGATGCTCTTCTGCATACCTTGGTTGCAACCAATTATTAT